GAAATAACCTGTCTCTGACTCATATTATTGTTTTATCAGTTTCACACCGCACCTGTGTGATTTAAACAGGAATTGTTTTTGAAAGATTTATTCCACCTATTTTCACCAACATGGTATACTTAAAAACTGAAACTGAACCCAGTTTTTTTCTCTGTTAGTCCTTTCACAGTCATGATTGACTTCTGATCATACATCACCAGGAGAGAATTTGCTCTCCCCGTCAAGACAGTGATTAGCATTTTGCTTGTTGACATATGTTTAATTGATTAAAACAGACCTGCTGGGATTTCACTGTGTTTTGTTTTTAAAGGCCAGGGTTCTGACAGAAATACTCCGGGAAGTATTGCATTTGGCGGCGAGCTCGGGTTCCCATACACGAGAGCGCTGAACTTAATTCAAAACGCCTTGGACACAAGGCTGACTGTTGGGCTTGTAGGAGAGGAGAGATAGCTGTAACCTTGCATTGAACTCCCAAGAATCTCAGCGTACTCCAGCAGAAAATACTTACAAGAGTTACATGATTTAGTGGCCGAGTTTCAAAGCCCAGACCCCTTTAGGCAGAGGGCTTGGTAATGAAATAACCTTTCCATTAGAGTGTAACAGTTGCCTGACAAAACTGGCATTGCAGAAACAGGGAAAGATTTGATAGTCAAATTGTGTTAGGCTTGTCACATACTTTACTTTGTTCCTTTGAGTACACACAGCATGAAAAGAAACGTTTCTACTGTTGAGAGGAAGTTTACTGAAAAGCTGACCAGTAGGGAGACCAGAGGCGAAGTATCAACATGACGGAGTGGGGAAGCCTCAGAAGTACCCTTTTAGATGCCTCTGTGCTAGATAAAACATGATTGAATGAACTGCCCTCTAGGGGCCACTCCCAGTGGAGAAAACATGATAAAGTGCCCTCTAGGATGCCTTTCCATTGGAGAAAATGTGATGATGTCCCCTCTAGGGTCCCCTCCCAGTGGAGAAAATACTATAAAGTGCCCTCTAAGTTGCCCATCCAGTGGAAAAAACAAAACACTAACCTCAGAGGGAGAACATGGTAAAGCATTGACTGTTGAATACCTGCAAATTAGCATTGTTGTTGTGAGTATGTGCACATGCTTACGTTAGCATCTAGCTCAAAGTACAACCACCACAGAGTGCTGCTAGTATGGTTGTTAGTCTTGTCAATAAATAGAAAAAGAACTGGGTTATGGTTGTTAGCATGAGTAGCTTTAGCCAAGTGAACAGACAGAAAACAGCATTGCCTACAGACAGGAAAGTAAAAGAGATGTCTGAGAAACACAGGGCAGGTAGGAACATCACCCATACAACCTTCACAGCGTTTCCCTGTGCCCATCAGAGCATTTATTTCAAGGCATCACTTTTGGTTTTGTGAAAATCCATTTGGGTTCATGTACCTAAATTAGACTTTTAAAATAACAAACAAAACAAGATAAATGTACTGTTGATTTCCCTCTAAAAATAGCTTATTACTCTCTATTCTCTATTCTACTCTCTACTGCTTTGCCCTCTTTCAAAAACAAATTTTCTTTACAGTGACCTTGTGTTTTGTGTGCCTAAGTGCAAGTTTGGCACATTATTCATCAGAGAAAGTTCCCAGCAGCCTCCACCTTTAGGAGGAACACAACAGATTGAACAAACATAAAACGTAACCAGCTTTTTCACTGGAAGGAAAGGCATTTAATCCCAGCATTCATTTGTCTTGAATGTTTGTATAACCGAGTAGAGCTTTATTTACTGTGCCTACAGTGCCAGACGCTAAAATATTCAAGTAGAAACATATTTTTCCCAATACACATGTATGTATTATTCTTCTGCAGCATCTAGTTTTAATTGTTTGATGAGGGATGGAGGCCATATGGACCACAGAATTTCTATCAACCAAAGAACAGATGTTAAAAAAATGTCTCAAATCAGCCTTGTGCGGATGCAGCCTGGATGACTACCACAGTTAAATCCTGGACCTCGATTCAAAACAGTCGAAAACTAAAGAAGAAAGTGAGGCAGTAAGTGAGATTCAAAGACTTCAACCAAACATCCAGTAATGTTTCTGTGATCAGTCTTTCTTATAATATCCCAACCAGATATAAAACTATACAGCCCCCATGTTATATTTAAGGTTGTTGTTACACATTAGAGAAGGCAACAGGTGCTGAAGGAGTGAGTGAGAAGTCATAATGTGTCATGGTATAGTACATTATCTTGAAAACCAACTGAGAAACTTGAATACAGACATTAATGTCTGTGTATAGCTGTGTATATAGGGGCGTGCTGATTCAGTACACTGGCTTACAGTTGGCACCAATATTGACCCTATTAAGTGGCTCAAAGTCCAGTGTAAAACATTTAGGAGGGTCTATTGGTAGAAATGGAATATAATATCTCTACGTATGATCACCTGAATAAAGGAATTATTGGGTTTTTGTTACATTGAAACAAGCCATATTTATCTACAGAAAGCGTGGGTCCGCCATGTTTCTACAGTATAACAGACAAGCCAAACACTAGTTGCAGATAGTCGCACCCACTGTAGTTTCTCCTGTGAGATTCACAGCCGGTTCTCATTCCCAGGTCTTCAAGTACAGACGTGAGTGGTGTTCAGTTAGTAGCAATCTGCAACTTCACTGCTAGATGCTACTAAATCCTACACACTGATCCTTTAAATTGAGTTTCTTCAGGGTCATTATAAAATCCATTGTTTTCACTAAATTAATTCAATCATATTTAATAAAGAATATTCTAATGAGTTGTTCACAGTGCAGGTATACAGTTTTTAAATATGGGACAAAGAGGGCACTGTTACCAGATTGGTAGTCGGTATTAACAGAATCATTATCAGAAGAGAACAATTTGAGCAGTTGACAAATTTACATTATTTATCAATAAACAGATGAATTGTATGCAAATCTCCAGAACGTAGCAATTATTTGAATAATAAACGGTCAACTTAAAACATTTATTTTATTTTGACAGATAACTGTGAGTTAAACAAATATGATTTATTGGCAGTAATGTGGTACATGCTCACTTTTCAGCTCAACTGTTTGTCCATCGGCAACTGTCAGAGTTCAGGTTAAAGGGCTGGTTGTCAAGGAACTTTCCCTTTTCGTCATAACAAAGCTTTTTCCTTTTGTCTTTTTCTCCACGTTCAGCCTTCAGTAACTAGGTCCTGTTCCTGACAACTTCCTGGAATTCCTTACAACACACTCACTGTGTCCCACCCACTGATTTTGACTATTCGGCAGCAAGAGTGTCATTCGTTTTGACACCCAACCTTCCCTGAACTCACTCCCACTCTTTCTGTAATAAGTAACACTGACTATACATAGTTATATGATGTCATCTCTATGTGGAGCCAAACATGTTACTGTCATTTAGTTTTTTTAACACTTGTGTCCTTCCTGCTGTTTTAATATTAGAGAAAGTTTCTCATCATTACGTAGTATTTTCTTCTGAACTTCCCTCTTTTGTGTAACAAACCTTCTGTGAGTAAGACTGTGAGAGTTTGTGACGTGGATGGAGGAGGTTCCTTTATTCTTTTCTCTAAAGTCGAGGTTATGTTTGCTAACTGAGAAGGCAACATGCTCTGTGGACATGCCTTTGAAAGCACAGTTTGGCTTTCTATGAATCTGACAAGGTGAAGAAATCACAGAATAATAAATGATTTATATACACAAACTCTCTTTCCATTAGACATCTTTTGATGATACTCCAAATCTAAAAAGACTCCACAAACAGGACAGCTATCTTGTTTTTAAGTGTTTTTTTCTCCCAGAATGTGCCGCCGTGTCTGTCGAGGAAACCCAAAAGGGCTGAGTCAGAGATCCCATCTCTTCCGGAGGCAGGGCCAGCAATGCTCTCCTTTGAAAGGCAACATGGAAAGATCAACGGGCATCTCCTGAGGGAGCCTCTGGGCCATACTGTGCTGCTGCCCCATGGCCAAACAGCCCTGGGGCCTGTGCTGCTGCTGCGGCTGCCGCTGGGTTAGATTGTACTGTTTACTTTGGGAGGACTTTCAACCCTGCACAGCCATCAAGATCTCTGTATTCTCCCTCTTTGTCTGCCTATATCTATCTCTCACATACTCTCTCTTTTTCCTCATATGAACATCATTCCCACCAAAGCTGCAACTCTGTGATAAACATCATTCACAATTACTTTCCATCACTTTACAGATAATAACTGTAAGCTTGCCGTTTGCATCACTCTGTGTGAACGTGGATGTTGATGTGACCCTCAGCTCTGCGAACATCTATCCAGATGAGAGCACAGGGAGGACTTCTGCGCTGTTGTGTTTATATTTCCTCCCTTGCGGCACTATGGATACCAGTCAGACAGTGCCAAGGTAGGACCACCTCATAAATTCAGAAACCTATAAATATTTGCTCGTGTTTTGAGTTCAGCACTAGTTTGCATTTACATATCTAAAGGTGGTTTGGTAATTTATCTGCGTGGAAGCTCAAGGACTTAATGCCTGGTGGTCTCGGTGTACAACTTGTGTTTTATATAACACCCAGCAGCAAATGAACACATGCCAAATGTTTCCATTTGCCATTTACAGCCAAACTTGACACAAGAAATACTAACAATGAAAAAATAAACTTTATCATGGATGTGTGTTAGCTAAAACAAATGGTGGCGGCTGTATCATTCTGATAAAATGTCACAAAAGTTTGATGTTCTTAAAAAAGCAAGAAAAATAAGGGTCTGTGGATGTGGCTGTTGTGCAGTGTAGCACATTCCTCCACACTCAATAAACTCAGCTAAATCAATATGTCAAAGAGCAGACAGATAACACTAAGCTCAGACATAAATCGTAACCATCTCTAAAATCTTTTCATGTGGTATTACTCACAGGCCATATTCGCTTAAGTACAGTAAACAATGTGACAGGTACTTTGAGCTGCTGGTTCAAGAGGACACAGGAAAGTGGATTGTGCTTTGAGCTTCAGGGGCCAGTAGACAAGAAAAACTCTTAAGTGAAAAAGCTGTCAGAAAGAATAAAGGCTTGCTTTAATGAAACATAAGCAGAATGTGGAAGCAAACCAAACCATATCGGCAAGCATAATGTTTGGTTTGACATGCAATTTTTGAAACATTTAGGTGGAATATTGGAATTTCTGAAAATAAAGAACAAAATGTCTTTTTGAGTCTTGACTTTTTTTTTTTCTTTGATGATCTTCCCTCCCAATCATGAAAACATCTGAGAAAATAAAACTATTCCTTTTTAGTTTGGCTAGGGAGAAATGGGGAGTTAAAGCTACGATTGCCTCATACAAAGGTATGCCTGAGTAATATTAAAATTATGCAAGGAACATTGGTTCTTTCCACAACTTCAAAATACTGATTCTTTTTCTTTTAAAACACAGGGTAACTTCATTTGCATCACCAGAACAATTTATTGGACTGAATTTAAATAAAATAATTTCTTATTAAAAAAAAATAACAACAACAAAAATGATGCTAAAATAAACATGATATCTTAAAAATAAATAAGTCCAGAAGAATGAATGACATGCCCTTTTGGGATGAAGCAAGCTGTCAAAGAAAAAAATGAAAACAAAAATAAGAAATATATCCCTCTTTTCGGTTGGACACTCATCAGATTGCTTTTCGGGTTTAAATCGCCTCATTAATGTTTTGTGGCCTGGAATGGCTTTTTGAGACTCCACCCACACCACTGCAGGAGGACATGCAGACAAACAGTGTGAAAAATCAAACATAACCTCTCATAAAATCTGGATTTTCCATGCCACCTGTGCAGCTGTTTTTTCCCCAAAGAGTGCACATTTTGATTAAAATGTTGCATTGCGATACATACTTCTTTTATTTCCCCTTTCAGCTGTCGACTTTAACACCTCATTATGTTAACCTATTGGGCCATTACACTGCTGTTAATCCTGACAGGGATTAGTTAAAGTCATCAAAGTAACATGAATTTGTTCAGAGGTGACCTCACGCTCCACTTTGGTCTAATTGTGGTATAAAATGATGCAGCACTACATTCTTGCATTGTGAACAGTTTATAGTGAGTCAGGTAGTGCAGCCAACAGTCTTCTTCTGTACTTTATGTCTTGTAACATAAAGGTCAGTGGGCCCACAGCTATTCTGGGTGTGCTTTGTTCAAACAAGCCATCCAACTGCTTTACATGGAAAAGAGTTTTGTAGCTCTGCTTTGAGAATAGTACCTTAATGCTACTCAACAGCTGACACAACATTAATATATCAATATCAAAAATTAGTCTGAATAAGTTGATTATTTGCATTTCTTTTCAGTAAATAATTAAACAAAACCACTAGATGACATAGTCTTTTATACCCTGTTTAAACCAAACTAGTTTCAGTCAAATACAGTAAGAGCTTTCAGTGGAAAACATGTGCAGATTCAACACTACTGTACTACAAAAACGCTTATCAAGAGAAAAAGTATTAGAAAAGAAGACATCAGAATGGTTTAACTTCTACTCTATATTGATATCTTTATTAACAATCATAGCCATGTTTTCAACAATGGAAGATTTATAAATATTCTTTTCTTTTGATTCATAAAAGTTGTCTTGGCACTTGTGGCATGATTCCAGTTGTGGAAAGAAAAAAAAAATCTAAATGTCCTTAAAGAATACAGCGCTTTACGAAGTAGTGGTATCCAATCAATAGCTTTTTCTTCAAGAGAGGAAATCCGTTATGTACACGATGGCTTTATTTTAAGAAACAAGATCTGGTTCTGTGCCATGGGATGGGAGAGATATCGAGTGCACGGCAGGTCCAGAAACCATCCAAAAGCACGCCACCTGATTGATCATGTGGCCTGGTGATTCCCTTTGTTTTCTTAAAGGCAACTAGATCCCCACACCAATCTGGAAATCAATCCCAGCTATTCCACGCTCGGTTCAAGCTTGCAGTTGCGACTGAAGGTCATCTCACCCTTCTTTCCCCCCCTGTCCGACTCTTCTTGCATCAGCTGCGAGGAAGGAAACAAAAAATTGCCCCCGAATACTTCCATACTACATAGTATCCAGACAGAGGGGCCAGGGATTGCTGTCCTCCCAAAGATTTAGATGTTCAAGCTAAGGCCATGGGGCACCAGGGTTCACCCCTCACTGAAGCTACATCTGATGGCTGGGACAAACCCACGCTAGTGTAAAGGCCGTCCTGTCCCGGGTACTTCACTGCTGAGCTGGAGCCCGTTCCCTCCCCGGAGCTGGACAGCACAGATGAACTGACCTACAACATCAGAGCAAATACAAAATTCACATTATTAGCCAAATTGCATTTTCAAAGCAGACATTTCTTGTTATAAAATAAGCATGTCTCTGTTGGAGTGTGATTCATGTTTGGGTTTTGGACTGAGAAGCCACTTGCAATACATCACTGGAAAAAGAAGCACCAGATCCTGAGCAATGTAAAGCTCATCTTACTGTAATATTATGGTGACACATTTGTTAGCAGCAGTCATCACCACAGAGCATGCAGTCATCCTGCATGTGATCTTTGTAAGCAAAACACCTGCAGCAGCGAATTACAGTTTGTTCATTACAAAATATTCAACCCTGAGGATGCATCAAGGACAAAGTTTGAAAGTCACTGTAAGGATTTTTCAAATTACACCCATACATTTTATTTCAGGTTTTATTGAAAAGAAACTCTTGTGCCACATCACACATATGTCCAATTATTATTTAATTGATTGCTTTGAATTTAAAATGGAGCAGGAGACATTTTAATAATTTTAAGTCTTACCCCTGAGACCTGTCCGGAGGGAGAGCTGGTTTTAGAGCAGTCTTCTGAATTAGATGAAGATGTGGATGTGGGAGTCATAGAGACAGAGTTGTTATTTCCTAAAAATATATAAAATATATTGTTGAGATCATATTGCAAAAAGCAGGGTTTTAATGACAATTACCCATAAGCATATAATAATATAATTATCAGTGACTCACCAGACGAGCCCTTTGTTTTATTCAAAGTTTTCGGTTTTCTTTTTCTCGTCTGGATTCCCTCTTTCTTCATGGCGAGCGGCCGAGGTACCTGCAGATTTCAGATCATTTATAAACAGCAATTATTACTTTGATTTGTGATGCGTTGATTAATCGAATTTGATATTAAATTTGAGAGAAATTAAGAAATAAAATCTTTGACTCACCCCGTGTAATTTTGTGTAGAGCCCACATGCGTTACACACCGGCTCTCCCTCCGCGTTTCTGCGCCACAAAGTGGTCGTGCTGGTTTGACAGTTGGCGCAGGACAGGCCGATTCTTCTGGACGTTGACTGGTGACAGAAATGTAACACTGAATTAATTATTATAATCAATACCTAAGTGGAACACAAGACTTGGAGTCTTTGTCTGTCGCCTAAAGTTAAAGAAAATGTTTTTTAAAGTGAAAGCCACACTCCACTAATTTAATTACAATTCAGCCATTCACACCCGATTTCCTAACAATAATACGGCTCCTATTGTCATCTCCATTCAACTGCCATTTACACGCCGCTTTTTTACAGGATGTTAATTTTCAGGGAGGCCATACTTCACATCAGATTTCCCTGTAAAAACTGTGCGTAATGCGCGTAATGGCACCAGGAAAAGGTTTGCCCTTTTTGTTAGCTTTTCAGATTAAATTACTCAACAGACGCACTTAATAGGGTGACAGATTATCTGCCTGATTAATTACGTTAACAAATATCTCCATGTATGGGTGGTGTTTAATCAAGTTAAATGAGTGCATTCAATTCTATGTGAAATTGACTAAAATACCTCTTCGCACCAAATCTTCCAATCCCGCATCGGCTTAATTTCTCTGATTGTTGATTTATAAATTAACATTATTGTATAATATGTTCAATTGTGTCATAAATTTGCACAGAAAGCTCCTAGCACTAACTAAAATGTCAAATGTATGGGTTGTGATGTAGGCTATTTTACAAATATATTTCTTCCCAGTTTACAGGATCAGTCAGTGAGAATAATGAGACCAAAATGTTTTTTAAAAATCTGAACTAAAGCTTTATATGTGGAATAAAGGTCTCTTTTCTGCATTATACCCCATGAATATCATCGGCGATAACCTCCAACCATTGTGTGAGATAATTAGGCAGGAAATTGAGCGGTTAAGTGGTCCCCTGCTTACCGTCCGTTTCTGTGGTTTAATTAATGGCCGGCTCAGACCATTCATTTTGCTGTAAAGGCCGCAGGCGTTGCAGAGAAAGTGGCCCGTGCCGTCGCGCCTCCAGAGTGGCGTGGAGATGGAGCCGCAGTTGACGCACTCTCTGCTCTCCCCCATGTCGTCGAGAATATCTGAAACTAAAAAATAAAGACTTAAATCAGCATACAGTCTTCCTACAGGTTGTGATCATAAGAGTTTGCGTTTCTTTCTCCTGTGAGGTGAAGCAAATTAAATCAGTTCCACGCATTTAATGTAGTGAAATAATTAATTACCCTATTTACAGGATACATATAGTATAACTGTAGCAAAACAGAGTTATAGACCTGACACATTTAAATATATTTATACTTTTTTAAACTTATATATTTATACATATTTTGGTCAGTTATAGGCCTGTGCACACAAATAGGTTATTTTTTTCTAGCAGGACTCAAACACGCATGTCTTTTCAGACCAAATGCAGCCCAATAACACATCATTACACATAAGAAGAGCATTTATATGGTACTTTATTAAACAAAGTTTGGATAACAAAGGCCCACTGGAGTGCACTGGAGTGCACTGCCTTGCCTAAAGACGCTTCAGCAGTTGCATGCCTGATTAATATAATTTAATCATTCTTCCTCCAGACAGAATGAAAGTTATTCCATCACTATGTCCTCTTTTATTTAGCTTTTTTTCTTACCTCCGTTTGGTCCTCGGATCAAGGGCGCGCCTCTGCTCTGCAAGGTGTGCAGCATCGTGTTATCGAAAGGTCCCCCGGTCCAAGGCGAGGGCAGCTGGGACAGCTGTGGTGCAACATAAGGAGAGTATGGGCTCGCGTAGGTCCCACTGAGGGGCCGAGAGAGGCCGTACTGGTCCCTGCTGCTCACATTCAGCGTGTTACTGTAGCCGGTGTCCCTGGGCGTCCCGTTATTCATGGGCGGGCTTGGAGGGTAGTGGAACCGACTGGAGGTGTGCGGGCTCCCGGTGCTGTATGAGGGGCTCTCCGGGGTGGACTGAGACCAGACCGAGTGGCTGGAGACGCCGTGGCTCGGCTGCGCAGAGCCACTAGCCTGCAGATAAGAGAGGCTGGGTATCATGGGGCCCACCCGGGAGCTGGGGACATACACGGGGGAGTTGGGGTTGGAGTGCATATAACCACCAGAGGAGGAATCATATCCAGTCTGGCTCTGGGCGGCGGCGATGGCCAGTGTTTGGTACATGTCGGTCGGGTCCACCAGCAAGCTCGCCTTGTGCGCTCCGCTGGAGAGGACGAGTTTGCTGCCCTGGTCTAAATCCGTAAACAGCGGGATGTCCTCGGCAGTGGTCAGGGTGTTGTTATGGTGTCCGAAGTGAACGTAGGAGTGTAGTGATCTACCGTCGGAGCGTCGGTGCCCCAGTGCGTCAAGGTCGCTCGGAGGAGTCCTCAGCTCATCCGAGGTGGGACCGTCCCTCCTGCTGTCACCGTGCAGGTAGGTATGCTCAGCCGGTGACCCTGGGCTGCTGGATACTTCTCGCTTGACCATGGACCAGCTGTTTTCGCCCAGGTCCATCCAGGAGCACTTTCCATACACCGTAGGGGTTAATAAAAATCGTCAGGGAGTAGTCTACCCTGTAACAAAACAAGAGGAGAGGAAGAAAATAAGTTTTACTCGTGTGGCGCAAAGTTATGGACACGTGAATTTAAAATGCGCCCTACAAACATCTGTAGCCTATAGAACATCGCCAGAGTTTCGAGTGGGGAAAAACGCAAATCCACCTCTGTACAGCTTGTTTTCATCTTTAAAACAGCAGCCTTCACTTAACAATACGAAAACTAACAAACTTCGAATCTTACTTTTAATTTCACGGCATGTTCACTGACTCTGTGTCATCCGTAACACCAATAAAACACATCCAATCCACAGTGACTGCCATACTCCCATCAGGCGCTCTTAAAGAGGCACTGAGTCCGTCCATGTCAAATCTCTGTCCTCCCACACACACACACACACACACACACACACACACACACACACACACACACACACACACACACACACACACACACACATATATACACAAGTACACACACACACACATAACAGATAGGAAACAAAACGCAATATGTCTTCACAGCAAAAGAGATAACCGTTTGATAAGACCCAAAACAGATAAGGACCGAGAGGCAGGCTGGAGCGATAAAACAATACCCCCCGAAATGATGATTGCGGTGCTGCTAGGCTTAAACTGCCAGATGTTTAAAGCAGCTGTGCGGCACGGAGGAGAAAAGACAGTAAGAAAAGGGGAAGAAAGAAGGAGACATTAGACGCTTTCCACCAACATACCTGCTAGTTATGTGCCATAGGTCGCACGCAAAGTTCCTAATAGTGATCCGCTGCTTCTCCTGGAAGTAATGGGAAACGTTGGTGCGGACTGACGAGGTTTATGAGAGGAGGCGCTTCTGGTGGCTGCGGCTACAGGAGGCGGACCAATCATGTGGAGAGCGAGCGGCTGGAAACACGATGGGGGTGCCAGCCTATGAACTCCTCCAATCAATCACACGCAGAAACTGAGAGGGAGGCATTGAGAGAGAGGGGGGGGGGGACTTGATCACGTCTGAAACTTCTAATAATTTGCTAATTAAATCATGTTTTTAGAGGGTTTTAGAAATGACTGCTTTGGGCAGAGATGGAGCTGCACCATTCAATTCCTAATCAATAACTAATATCGGACTAAGTCTTACTCTATATACATTATTTTGGATATTTTTTTCAAGCGTTCCTGTGTTTTAATGCTGCTGTTTTGCTCCATGAAGTTGGTTTAAATTACTGACATTTATTTAAAAAAAAATGTAAGGTACTTTTACTTTACTTGAGTGTCTCCATTTTATTTTTCTTTATACTTAACTTAATTTCAGAGGGAAATAATGTACTATTTACTGCTCTATATTCAGCTATCAGCTACAGTCACTTCCCCGATTATACTTTTGCGTAAGATAACCCGGTCTGTTAATAAAATATAACAAATTATTGCACAATTAAACAACCCAGTAAAAATGTAGTAAAAATAGATACAACTCCAACAGTAAAATGTTACTTCGACCATTGCACCACAATAACAACAACAATAGCCTAATCCTCTAATACGGTAATATAACAATATAACAATCACACGGGCTGTTTGTGTGCATAAGAACTACATTTGGCTGATAATATTTCTGTACATTTACAAAAGCAAAATATATTTTTCTAACTTGTAATTGAGTATTTCTACTCTGTTCTATTTCTACTTTTACAGAAGTAAAAGATCTGAACTCCCACCACTGGGCTGGTTATTACATGTGCATTAGATAAATTCATTCAGATGACTAAATTTCACAATTACCGCCAACTTTAAAGTGCTACGTGGATATTGATCCTTTTGTAAAGCAGTTAAATAATATTAATCAAATAAAACAACATATTTCTTCAAGGAGAAAAATTTAATGTGGTCTTATTTTTTTTATTTTTTTCGTTCTCTGTCTGATGTTTATCCAAGCTCTTGATTTAATGTATACCTTTTTTTTGTTTTTGTTTATTCTCTATACTCACCGCGGTGATCAATAAATCCCCTCCCTAATTAGTTTATTTAAGTCAGACGCTTTGGTTCAGGATTAACTAGATTCAGCTGTGCAGGAGCACAAACTCTCAGCACGCCTCTGCTGTGAAGACCATTACTTTGAACCGATGATTCGTTCAGCCACAATATACATTGTGAGTGAGTGAAGTGATCAAAAGTAGCGAGGTGTCAATTGAATCATTCACTCATTTACAGGTCTCCTCGTGCGTGCTCACAGAGGTTAACAAATTGTTCATCACAGTCAACCATTCAGCAGGTATTTGTCTCTGTTTACATTTTGTCTGGATGGGAGATAACTGAGCTGCACACAGAGCAAAGGGACTCCGCCATTTATACTAATACTAACACTAACACTAACACTAACACTAATACTTATACTAATACAGCCGACTGAGGCTGTGTACTTCATGTGTCTAGAACTAACATTATCCTACATGCAGTCAATGGAAGCTGTGCAGCTGTACTCACCGAGGAGCTGCTAATTTACCACTGATATTGTACATTATATATTACTAAATTACTAATCTACTATAATGCAAAAGGGGCACTCCAATTAAACAGGATTTACTGCTTTATACAGTCCTGTATTTAATACTAATATATTAGTAATATATTTTAGGCTATCAGGCCTACATTACTCCCACTGCTTCTATTACAGCTACTACTATTAGAGCCACTGGTGCTACAAATACTATTATTATTATGAGCCTGCTGCTACTGCCACTACTAGGCTGCTATGCTGCTTCTGCACTGTTAATTAAGATTTGTTTTATTTTTTATTTTGGCCCATGTTTAACTACGTTTTTGAGGGGGCACTGTTGGATAAAGTCCATGTAGGAAAACTATTTCTACGATCAATGGAGAGGCCTATAAGGCTCTCTGGCACTGGCTGCAGTTAGACCCACTGCTTTTATTATCACTGTACTGCTGAAACTTTACCGTGCCTCTACCACTGCAATGGGAACTATAGTATTTCTGCTGCTCTGTGTACATTTGGATGTATATCAGTGCTCGCCTTGTACTGGACTTCTGTGGCTCTGTGGGTCTATGTGTGCGTTAGAATATGGAAATGAATCCATGCGTCTGATTGTCGGCTGCAGGTCCAAGTTCCCACAGAGCTTTCATAACCCTGCTCCCATGAATTCATTTTTTTGGAGACCTTCTAGGCCTATGTTTACCCACGCAGACACACTGTGCTGTCTTATAACATGTGACAGCCGGAGAGGTTTTGGAGATGTGGTTTTATCAGAGGGAGTAACCAAACCATTCGCTACTGTCTCCCATCCCACCGTCTCAGTGAGCAGTTGTCAGGGAGGTGCGAGAATACAAAATCCTGTTGTTTTTTTCCTCTTCTTTCCTCCCCCACCACCCCTCTCTTACCTCTTACTCTCTACTGGCTGCGGAGCCTCGAGTTTGATGAATGAGGTGTTTTCGCAGTGATGTCAAAGAGTGCGGCTCTGACACACGGAGCCTGTGAGGAGAAGTGGCAGGACGCCGCCCTGTCTCCACATTTATCCACAGACGGTCAAACACTGCGGGCCTGCGTGGTCAGAGACACAGGCCCATAATCTAATTATCTTTATCATACATTTCACTGGAAAACGCATTTTTAAATGACTCACTTCTAATTGTAGACTATAGGGCCTACTATGGCGGCTGCCAATAATAATAATAATAATAATAATAATAATAATAATAATAATGTATAGATTAATTTTCATTTACATATGATAAAGGCATGATTTTAGCTCTAAACTGATTTTATGGTCCTACTTGAAATATTATAATTAGAAGTAATATTATTTTATTTTTTTAGAACAGAATTAAAAGAAACAATAATAATAATAATAATAATAATAATAATAATAATAATAATAATAATAATAATAAAATAATATAAAGGCTAATTCCAATCAATCGTCACCTTAATTTAAATGTTCTCTGTTTCATTTTAGTTTTATTGATTTTTTTAAATTTCTTTTTTGCCCAGAAGACCACGGCCTCAGTTTTATCTGAATAATGTTTGTTTCTTTCAGGAGGTGTGCAGGGTAATGGCCGACCCTCTTCAGGTGTCAGTGCCTTATGTACCGACTTGATAATGATTATCTCCAACACTCCACTTGTTATAACCTGCTCCTGATTAGCCAATACTGCTGCAATATGCACGATGTTATGCAGATAACAAGGAGCAGGAATAACGCCGAGTTTACACTAATATCACATTGTTACCCAGCATGAAGAATTATTTATAAATGTGAGTCTGGCCTGGTGGTTACTGTGTCGCTTCTCTATTTTAAAATTGGCCTGGTTGCTCGTCAGTTTCTTTGTGACTCAACGAAAAAAGCCTCTGAAAAGTAAGATTGATCTCTCTTCTCTGTCACGTACAGTGTAATAAAAGGCGTTGTGGACATTCAACACGCCCTATCCACAAGAATGTCTCTGATGTCTCGATTATGATTAATGAGAAACGACTGTAGGTGCATGTAAAACATGCAGGAAAGAGACTCAATTCATCACTTGAATCACTCCTCAGCGGTTGTGGCGCATTTTCTTTTATCTTTAACGCTATTCATGTTGCTATAGGCACTTTAATGGGAGATTCATTTTGATTCAGGGATAATATTATTTAGATGGGGGAAGATTGCATGCGGTAATTTTTGCTACCATCAAAATAAAATTGACCTTTTTTCCTGACAAATCGCCTCCCAAAAGTAATTTTAGTAATTATTTTTTTATTCATTTAAAAAATACACACAGATTTTAAGAAGAAATATATTTTCTTTCTGCTTATAGTATAAAGAACAATATGATGAATTTGATGGCGTTTTATAAACTAATAAAATGTTTAAATAGACGGAGATTAATACTTTAAAAATATGTCGCCTAATTGACAACATACAGTATACAAATATAAACATATACACTGGTGGTTCAGTATATTCTACAGATATTAAACGGTGAGCTTTAAAGGAATCATTTTCTAAAAAAAAATTTCAAAATTTCTTTGCACAGCTCAAACAAAAAGTTTAGCCCCAATATTAAAAGTGAAAAAAAAAGGAAACCTCATGAATGAAGCAACAGGCTCACATTTATTTCACTGCTTTCTTGTAAATGTATAAATCCATGCACGATGCATCATTTCAAATCAATCTAGATAAATGAATGAGGGAGCTCTCTGATTTTCTCATAATGTTAAATACTACAGCACCTGTGAAAGCCATTTCCTGTATTTATTACCTTGCTGCTGGAGCCTTTAAAACATTGACCTATTTGCTCTTATTTTATGGAAGACACAGTTAAGTTTTATACCTGCACGGGTCTGTTTTTCTCCCTGTCTTCTACTGAATGGCAGCTTGTCCAGAGCTGCTGGAGCAAAGGCTGCTGGGAGGCTGTGAGCTCAGACTCTCCTGTTTGAAGTGGTAGATGATTAAACGGGCTATG